AAAAAGCAATGCAATGCAAGAAAATAAAATGCAAGAAAAAGCAACGCAATGCAAGAAAATAAAATAAAATGCAAGAAAAAGCAACGCAATGCAATAAAATAAAATGAAATACAAAAAAAGAGAGAAAAAAATAAATTAAATAAAAAATAAAGTGCAGTAACACAAAGTGTGTTCATGTTTTGGGTAATATATTAAAATTATATGATAACAAATTCCAGTTCGCATCATCAAGCAGCATAATAGACGGATCTGATCCGGATAAAATACTGAAGCTGATAAATCATTATTAGTGGAGCAGAGTGTTATTTGAATGAAAACATGTCCTGATCGTGCAGTGAATCGGTTTTAATACTGTTCTACAGATATTCACAGAAGGTTTCTCATAATTGACATACTGATATGCTTAAAAAGCATTACAAATATTTTAAATTAATAAAATAAAATAAAAAATCTGTTAATAATCCATCATAAAATCATCCACAGACAAACAGCACTGATGCTCTGAATGTGTTTCAGAAATGCAAACAGCTGCTCATCAACTTTCACAGCATCTGCCACAAAACCAGCAACTATTACACTCTTCATCTCGAGAAATACCCCGGAAAACCACCATTTCAGCTCTTTCTGTTTGCCCTAATGTTAATGTTTTCATTATGTTTTTTTGGAATAATATCTTGCTATTGTAATGTTTTAATTGTCTATACATGTGTATTACACTTTGCACTATGCAAACAATATACTGCTTTTAATTTGAATAAAACGAGTTTCCACTGAGAATCATCTGAACTTAAGCTCCATTGTCTTCATGTCAAATGCAATTCCTTGATTTTGTGTAAAATGAGGATTGGGCATCACTACAGCATATAAAAACCGTATAAACTCAACTCAGGCTTTAATGAATGTTGTGTAGATTCCCAGCCGGACACAGTATAGGCAGCAGGTCTGATATGAGCGAGTGTTAAACTGTGTGTTTTCCTCTGCATCTGTTCAGGGCCTCATGATGGACGATGGTTTCACATGCATCTCATGAAGAAGCTGTAATGCACTGTGTGATTAATTATTGACTTATTCTGGAAAACAGAGATCCTGCTGGTGGAGAACCACTGTATCCAGACACATGAATGATGATGTTTGCATTGTGTGCTTTATCAATAGTGTTCAGAAGCGCAGAAAGACGGCTCTACTTTACTGCTGCTGCTCAATACAGACAAGCACTGAGCGGACGAGACGCTTCTTTCAGGCTTTAATACGGAGTTTTCGATAATGCACAGCTGCACTGCTTTATAAATACCAGCTCGTATGAAGAGAAGCATCTTAAACTGAACCTGGAGCGTGCTTGTGTCAGTGCTGCTCATCATCAGTATGCGGGACACGGCCGTGACGTCACTCGCGACTACGCTCACACATCAATCACAGCGGCAGCAGTGACGTCACACCTTCACCTTAAACAGCTCCAGTGCACTGCGCTGCACTCCACACATCCTTATACACATCTATTTTAGGATCTTTTGGATAAATATTTGTATATGTATATATATATATGTCAATTTAATGCCTTTTCAACATCAATAGCTGCCTGGGATACACACACTCACACACACTCACACACACACTCACACACACACACACACACACACACACACACACACACACACTCATATGTACATTTGCACATATGCTATTATGCAGTGTTGGGGAGTAACTAGTGACTAAATTATGTAATTTAATTACAAAATAAATGTAACTGTAATCTGTTAGTTACTGAAAAAAAGTGTAATTAAATTACAGTTATGAAAATGTTAAAGATTACAAAGGGGGTTACATCTGAATATTTTCACAGACAAACAGATTTGATTCATTTCTTTCCCAAATTGTATTGACTGCGTTAAAATATGAGACAGACACATTTGATTTCAAAAACAGCATCATAACTAATAAACTTGATTTTTAATTCTGTATTTAACCTCAAAAGGATCTCAAAGTAAAAAGAGCTGCTAAAGTCTGATGGTGGCTGTGCTTTCAAATTAAATTATTCTAATCTTAATTCAAGTGATGAAGGATTCTGCAAGTCTTACAGTAATCAGAGCACTTAAAGTAACCTTTCCACAATAATATGATGTACACAAACACACACACACACACACACACACACACACACACATATAACTATATCAGCAAATGTGCGCATACATATTGCAAGTTTTACACGTCATTATTTCACTTTAATAACCGAATCATTTGGGATTTAGTGACTTTGTTTGTTTCTTGCAATGACTAAAATGATGAAAGCAATGAATTGACAGCATTATGTTTTGCTTTAGCGCGATGATAGGACGTTTCTTTCGTCCTCACGAGCAGTAAATCCGCTGTAAAGCCTGTTATCCAGTGTGCACGCTGAAGTGGGTCGCGCTTTGATTGGTCTTCTCCTGATTGCCTTCACGTGAAGCGATCACCGTTTACCGATTTAAATGCATCGACGAGGCGCTCGCGGCCTCTCAAGTGATGAGAAAGAGACGCGAAGCGATGTCCGTCGTGCTGAACGCGTTCCTGCGCTGCGTCGCGTTCCTGCTGCCGCCCTCTTGGCTTCAGTTTTGCTGGTGGGTTGGGGAGGCGCCGTGGCCCAATCCCAGAGCTCGATTCAAACACACAAAGCCTCTTACATATGAGGAAGTAGCTGCTCGAGACGAACACAAACCCGTCCCCTCTTCCTCCTCCGACAGCCCCGCGCGGTCTCCGTCTCCGTCTCCGTGGCGCAGATTCCGGACGCTCTGGTCCGCCGTGGAGCGCGTCCTCTCGGCTCCCTTTGATCTTCACACGCGCTTGGGAAGTCTGTGTTCGCCGTACCGCGTCGCCGCCGGTCCCCCCTCGAGCGCAGACGCCAGCGGAGCCGCGGAAGAGGAGGCGTCCACGGCGCAGATCATGAGCTCCAGCACCGAGCCGCGGGAGATCAGCGCTCCGGTGACCATCACCGTGGCCATCCAGGCTGCGGAGGACGAGGAGCCCGACGAGGAGCCTTCATTCAACACCATCGAGCTCCAGACGGGCAGCGGCAGCGAGGACGAGATCGGAAGACACGATAAATCCAGGTAGAGGGACTCAATCATGCATATGCATATCAATCTCTCATATAATAAAGTCATTGATTTCTCCATCCGTCATCCAAACAAGCACCAGCCGCGCTTCCAGGCTATAAATAGCCGTGCTCACAATGCTTGACTGCATGAAAGTGCACATGTCTAATTGTGCTTCAGTGTGTGTGTGTGTGTGTGTGTGTGTGTGAGACACCTGTCGCAGCTCTTCAGGTAGGAATGGCACCACACCTGTTGCTCCAGTTCTATACATCATCCTCCAGCTCCACTGGTCCACCAACATCATGATGTAATGCTCCTATACATGTCAAAACAGGCAAAGTCTCATAATAGCTATGCCTATTAAGATGGCCAAATCTAGATGAGGGGCTTTCAATCTTTTAGATGACAGACCTCCGAGTAAGATCATAGTCGTGTGAGGCACCCACATCCTAAAATTAACAACCCACTTTATGCTGATTTAAACTGATGTAGTATATACTATACCACTGTGAAACGTTATTATTTGAAAGATTTAAATTTCTAAGATTTCTCTACTCACTATAGTCGTGTACTGTTCAATTTATTATTTATCTAAATTATTTAATATAAAAAATTTATTTATTTTAAGGTGTTTGCTTAATAATTTTAACTTGCGTTGATTTTAATCGATTTTAATGTCTTTTTGTAAATTTTTACAGCTTTTCTTTAAAAGTTTCTACAGGCCCCTAGCACTTCCTTGAAGCCCCTTAGGTTATTCATTTTAATCTATTTTTTATTGGATACTTATTTTAATATAACTTATTTTTAACTTGCTAACTTATTTTTTTTTAATACTGTTTTTCTCAATTTTTCCACATCCACCAGCTCTAACTTGAAGCCCCCTGGCGTGCTCACTAGTGTCCTCCGTGACCTCCACGAGTGTCTAAACTCTGTGCCGTTGATGTTATTAAATCTCTCCCACATGACCTATTGAGCGGCTTCCCACTCTGAGGACGAGCGAGCGTTAATGTGAAGCGCGTCTGCGGCCCTCGGGCCTGCGTGTGCATTGTTGTGGAGCACTAATGAGTGCGGCTGATGCTGCTATTGTGCTCCACACCAGTGGGCGGATCGTGACGGGACGCTTGAAGGGCTTCCTCGCCTTGTGTGAGTGCTGCTCTCTTCAGGAGTTTGTGTGACCGTCCCGAGCAGACGTGGGGTTTTAAAGGTGGTGGGCTGGAAGGCGGTGAGTCATCAGTTTCATTTGTTTTCTGAAGGTTATTTCCAGCAGACGGGTAGGTAAGCCGTGGAATCTCATAGAAAAGATTAGATTTGTTTTGCTGCTGGAAGCAGAGCTGCGTTTGTGTCTCTGGAGAGAGAGCGCGAGAGAGTGTGTGTGTGTGTGTGTGAGAGAGAGCGCGCGTGTGTGTGAGAGAGAGCGCGTGTGTGTGAGAGAGAGCGCGTGTGTGTGAGAGAGAGCGCGTGTGTGTGAGAGAGAGCGCGTGTGTGTGAGAGAGAGCGCGTGTGTGTGAGAGAGAGCGCGTGTGTGTGAGAGAGAGCGCGTGTGTGTGAGAGAGAGCGCGTGTGTGTGAGAGAGAGCGCGTGTGTGTGAGAGAGAGCGCGTGTGTGTGAGAGAGAGCGCGTGTGTGTGAGAGAGAGCGCGTGTGTGTGAGAGAGAGCGCGTGTGTGTGAGAGAGAGAGCGTGTGTGTGTGAGAGAGAGAGAGAGTGTGAGTGTGTGCGCGTGTGAGTTCAGCGTGTGCTCGGCGGTCAGATGGAGAGGTCTCGGCGCTGCTCGTGTGTTGGTGTTCGTGGGCAGTGAGCTGTGATGCTCATGCTTTTGCGCAGGCTGTTGGATTGTGGGGGACTCTGAGATTTTAGGGGGACGATGGGAAACAGACGGGCTCCCTGCTGCGGATTGATGCGTGTGTTTGGTGTGTGCTTCTCTCAGCGGCGCAGGGACCAGCGGCGGGGAGCTGGAGGAGGAGAGCTGGCAGCCTCCAGACCCAGAGCTCATCCAGAAACTGGTGGCGCAGATTGAATATTATCTGTCGGATGAGAATCTGGAGCACGACGCCTTCCTGCTCAAACACGTCCGCCGCAACAAGCTGGGCTTCGTCAGCGTCAAGCTGCTCACCTCCTTCAAGAAGGTAAGTGCTTCATGCTCCAGTTCCACAGGACTTCATGATCGAAGAAACACGACTGCTATCTGTTAACTTTCTATTTTATCTTACTCAACGCTTTACTCGCATACTTTTACCAGATATAAACACTTAAAATTTGTCGTCTACAAAATAAAAAAGTTGACGAAATGTCATGAAATATATTTTTTACAATAATTATTTATATAATATAATTGTTTGAAAAATATAGAGTATTTTCATTACTGATATAAAGTAAATTATATATTTGTGTATATTCACGCAATGTCCAAAACAAGATGTGTATAAATTATTTTATTTAAATGTTATTTATTCTATATTTAAAAATTAAAAAAACATCTAGCCTATATATAATTATTATATTTTATATTAAATTAAAGAATTTTTATATCTTGGCCATCAATCGATCTTATTATTATTATTATTATTATTATTATTTTATACATTGTGTGGTATGCATGTGTACACACACACACACACACACACACACACACACACACACACACACGTGTATAATCTCCAAAACAAGATGTACAGTATATACATTTTTTTTTTTTTA